CACCGCTTATCTGTCGACTTCTCCAGACCCAACAGAAGAGAATCGGCTTCATCCAATTGTTGGCAGTCCGTATGATACTGCTTGGAAGCACCAGAAGGAACGAGTGCTGGTTCGTACTGAACATTGACCATGTGGCGTCTGTCTTGAGAGTAGGTCTTGATGTCCATGATGTAATTTTGTGAAAAATGAGATGTGTGGATCAGTGCTATACTGCCAGAAAGATTCTTCTGATCAGAAGCTGACACTACTCGAACTTCGCTGATGTAATCCATCCCGACGATCGTCAGTTATTCTGATCGAAAGAATGCTATGTATTCAAATAGTGGGCACTTTTTGGCAGCCAGCATTTTTTCCAAATAGTGAAAAATTACCTTTCAGGCTTGGTCGAAGGGTATTGGGATGGCACATTCTTGATACGAATTGAGCGCATGCTTTGCCTTCGTATCAAGGGTTCCACGTCGCACAGACGAGTACTAGTACAATGGTAGGTTTAATCGTGCTTGAGTACATGCTGTGGACTATTTGGTCTGATGGTGTCTGATGGTGCCTACCGTCACCTACTTTTGGTCTGATGTAATCCACTGCGACGATTCTGTCAGTTGTAAAAGTATTCTGATCGAAACAAGTTATACCGCACAAACACTCATGTTGTCGTATTTGGTTTGATGGTGGCGGCAAGGTGTCTTTCCGAGGAATGACATCATTCTCGCCATGAAGACGTTGGAACTGCAGATCTGACGAAGTCCACGTCACACCAATTACAATGTCAGTGTAATAGCTGATGGATCGTCGTATCTCTATTCGTCGGCCAATGCATTCTATTGATGAGTGTGTAAGCTTGAGTCTTCTACCAACCACATGTTCTAGATGTTAGGTTTAGATGTAATTACAAAATAGATGTTAAGTTTAGATGTAATTTTAATAGATGTTAGGTTTAGTATACAACCTCATGCTGACACTTTTGGTGATTACCTTAGGCACTGATGAGGAACACATAAAATAGTATAGATCCAAGACGAGGAGAGCGAGCTTTGTGGAAATGAAACTAGCCAATATATGTGCATGATTGCTCGTCGACTTCAAATCAAAAACTACCGAATTAGACCTCAGCGGCGAATCTTCTTGAAAGTCGGCTGCTTCGTGGCTGGCTCTTCTCGACGACACGCTTGCACCTATTTCCAACCATTCGACCATCCCATACAAATCCAAGGTCGTCCAGCGCTCCAATGCGCTCTTCGGTGAGGTTAGAGTTCTTTCCTTGTCCAAAAAGCCTGTATTGTCGGCGTTGACACTTGACCCAAGTTGACAATTGTTTACTCTTGGGAT